TGCTCTCGTTGCAACAGAGCAACATATGCAACATAATGTTCTCCTAATGTGTGCTTCGTTGTTCTGCTAATGTGTGCTTCTGGCATTAAGTTTAGGGTTATGTCTATTACTCCTCTGGCCTTTTTTATTCTCTATTAATCAGTTACCTGGATATTCTGAAGGGGGGGGAGGGGGGAGGGGGGAGGGGGGGGGAGGGGGTGGGGAGGGGGGTACTATAACCACCATCTAATTCGAGAAATGAGCTTTGCTTGGGGTTATCCTGGAGGTATATTATGACCCTTTCAGCTACTGGCAGGCTTCCAGTGTTGGCTGAGTGAACATGAGCCAGCTCGTATCACTGTTAAGCTCTGAGCATAGTAGTGAGTTGATGGGAGGTGAAACAACTAAGCATGAGGGCACTGATACTGGTGTTGATTATGGGCCAGCATATTATTCCTTTACTTCACTCACTTTATTAGATATTCCATCTACATTTGCTTAACGTCGTGAGACTTACTCTTTTATATTCCTTGTTTATCTGTTTCACTTTTTTGGGTTTCATGTTTTTGGGGGATCAAGGGCCAAGAATATAGGAAGTAGTGGGAGCGTAAGAACAGAGGGGACGACTCTTAAGAGAGAGAGTTAGTGCAGGCTGAGTGAAGGGAGAGTGAAGCTGTTGCTGGATGAGGAAACTTCTGATGTAGAAGGGCTGGAGGCGATGAGTCACAATAACGTAGCTGAAGTGTGTTGACCAAACCACACACTAGAAGTTGAAGGGACGACGACGTTTCGGTCCGTCCTGGACCATTCTCAAGTCGATTGTTTCGGTCCGTCCTGGAGAATGGTCCAGGACGGACCGAAACGTCGTCGTCCCTTCAACTTCTAGTGTGTGGTCTGGTCAACAAGGGCTGGAGCTTATTGTAAGTGAGGATGTAAGACGGGGGTGGAAAGGATTATCCAGTTAATGCTAGTATTGTATAGGGTCTATAGGGGTGGAAGCCAGGAGGGCAGGGTAGGCCTGCCAGAGGATGGGGGCAGTGGTATCCAGTGATGAAAGGCATCTGGTATTGGGGAGTGGAATAACGATATTAGGTAATTGGAGAGAGGGTATTTTGGAGTGGGGGGGTAGGGGGGATTGAGTAGGCCAAGTCGTGGGAACCTAATTGTGCTCTAATCGTCGTCTGGTCTAATTGTGGAGTGAGGGGACTGTAGGCCTATATGTATAGCCTGCCTCTCATCTGGGGCCTGTTGCCACACGTGGCCACTTGACGCTCCCAGATCTCCACTACCGTCAGTGGAGATCTCCACTAGGTAACCTGAAGGCACGTTGTCCCTAAGACGCTCTCCTCAAACGTTGATAAATTATCTTACCTGTTCTGATCAAGCTGGTTGTCCTTTCCGGCAACTAGTAAGTCCTCTCTCACGCCTTCTCTCATCTTAGATGGTGTGGTATCGCTCTCTCATCTTTCTCATGCACTGCACAATCTCTAGTACCTCATTCATCATCTTGAAGGGTATGAACTATTCCTCACACCCACAACCTAGTGAGTCACTCCGCTTCCCCCATCCAGCGCAATGGTCCGTCCTTGGTTTGGCGGGTTAAAATTGCATTAGTTAACAGCTGCTGCATCACACTTGTGGTGCCCTGTAATGGGGCAGCTCTCTCTCTCTCTCTCTCTCTCTCTCTCTCTCTCTCTCTCTCTCTCTCTCTCTCTCTCTCTCTCTCTCTCTCTCTCTCTCTCTCTCTCTCTCTCTCTCTCTCGCTACGTGAGGTTCAGCTCTTTCAGGCTTTCGTTGTGGCCCATCACTCGTAATGCTGAGACGAGCCTCGCTCCAACCCTCTGTACCTTTCCAAGGTTCCTTTGTGGTTTTTGATGGGCTCTCTCCACAATGTGGCTGCATGCTCTATCACTAGTCTCGCGTAGGTGATGACCAGCGATCTGAATGCTTCCATACTGGTTCCTGAATGTTGATTTGATGTTGCAGGTTTAGAGCACGCTGCTACGCTACTGCGTTATCATACGTATTTGTGAAGGGGGAGGGGGGGGGGGGTTCGATGTTATATGTGTGTGTGTGTGTGTGTGTGTGTGTGTGTGTGTGTGTGTGTGTGTGTGTGTGTGTGTGTGTGTGTGTGTGTGTGTGTGTGTGTGTGTGTGTTTACTAGTTGTGTTTTGCGGGGGTTGAGCTTTGCTCTTTCGGCCCGCCTCTCAACTGTCAATCAACTGTTTACTAACTACTTTTTTTTTCCCACACCACACACACACACACACCAGGAAGCAGCCCGTGACAGCTGACTAACTCCCAGGTACCTATTTATTGCTAGGTAACAGGGGCACTTAGGGTGAAAGAAACTTTGCCCATTTGTTTCTGCCTCGTGCGGGAATCGAACCCGCGCCACAGAATTACGAGTCCTGCGCGCTATCCACCAGGCTACGAAGCCCCCACGAAGCCTACGAAGCCCCCTGTGTGTGTGTGTGTGTGTGTGTGTGTGTGTGTGTGTGTGTGTGTGTGTGTGTGTGTGTGTGTGTGTGTGTGTGTGTGTGTGTGTGTGTGTTCATGTGTGTTTTGTGGAACACAAAACAAATAAACCTAAACATATGGGTGAGTCTCTTGGAGACTGAAGGAGACTTGAAGGAGACTTGGAGGAGGTCCATCACTCCCAGCTCGACAACCCTCCGAGATCCTTCTCTCCCTCATCTCTCCCCCCTATTCCTTATTCTCCTGTTCTTCCTCCGACGTCTTTGGTTCTCATCTGGGCTTCCTTGTGTACCTTCCTCGCCTCCACAGGTCTCTCTAGGAGGCTGTAGTGGACGCCGACGTACATCGGGCGTCGCCAGGCAGCGTCAAGAAACAGCGCATTGTCACAACCGAGCAGCGCTCTGTGTCTCACTACCTTAATCCCCGTCAACACCACAACCCCCACCACTCACCACAACCACCACCACTCACACCACAACCACCACCACTCACCACAACCACCACCACTCACCACCACAACCACCACCACTCACCACAACCACCACCACTCACCACAACCACCACCACTCACCACAACCACCACCACTCACCACAACCACCACCACTCACCACAACCACCACCACTCACCACCACAACCACCACCACTCACCACCACAACCACCACCACCACCACTCACCACAACCACCACCACTCACACCACAACCACCACCACTCACCACAACCACCACCACTCACCACAACCACCACCACTCACACCACAACCACCACCACTCACACCACAACCACCACCACCCACCACCACAACCACCACCACTCACACCACAACCACCACCACTCACACCACAACCACCACCACTCACACCACAACCACCACCACTCACCACAACCACCACCACTCACCACAACCACCACCACTCACACCACAACCACCACCACTCACACCACAACCACCACCACTCACCACAACCACCACCACTCACCACCACAACCACCACCACTCACCACAACCACCACCACTCACCACCACAACCACCACCACTCACCACAACCACCACCACTCACCACCACAACCACCACCACTCACTACAACCACCACCACTCACCACCACAACCACCACCACTCACCACAACCACCACCACTCACACCACAACCACCACCACTCACCACAACCACCACCACTCACACCACAACCACCACCACTCACCACAACCACCACCACTCACCACAACCACCACCACTCACCACAACCACAACCACTCACACCACAACCACCACCACTCACACCACAACCACCACCACTCACACCACATCCACCACCACTCACCACAACCCCCACCACTCACCACAACCACCACCACTCACCACAACCACCACCACTCACCACCAAGACGAGTGTTGAGTGGAGACGGGTGTACAATGTAAGGCCTTAATAAATTCTATTTTTCACTTAGCGTTGCTGGCATTATTTACTGCATATTGCTGCACTTGCTGGCAGCATTTCACCCAGGATATGCTGCAGCGCCTTCATCTACCTGCTGGTTCACTCCTAGACAGTTTTAAGGTGCGTCTTTCTGCCGGCCGAGGTTGGTAGACGTCACTATAGACGGTGGGTGTACTGCTAGACGTTCCTATAGACGGTGGGTGTACTGCTAGACGTTACTATAGTCGTGGGTGTACTGCTAGACGTTCCTATAGACGTGGGTGTACTGCTGGACGTTACTATAGTCGTGGGTGTACTGCTAGACGTTACTATAGTCGTGGGTGTACTGCTAGACGTTACTATAGTCGTGGGTGTACTGCTGGACGTTACTATAGTCGTGGGTGTACTGCTAGACGTTACTATAGTCGTGGGTGTACTGCTAGACGTTCCTATAGTCGTGGGTGTACTGCTGGACGTTACTATAGACGTGGGTGTACTGCAAGACGTTACTATAGTCGTGGGTGTACTGCTGGACGTTACTATAGTCGTGGGTGTACTGCTGGACGTTACTATAGACGTGGGTGTACTGCTAGACGTTACTATAGACGTGGGTGTACTGCTAGACGTTACTATAGACGTGGGTGTACTGCTGGACGTTACTATAGTCGTGGGTGTACTGCTGGACGTTCCTATAGACGTGGGTGTACTGCTGGACGTTCCTATAGACGTGGGTGTACTGCTGGACGTTGCTATAGACGTGGGTGTACTGCTAGACGTTCCTATAGTCGTGGGTGTACTGCTAGACGTTCCTATAGTCGTGGGTGTACTGCTACACTCCTGGCGACTCCCAGTCAAGCCTGGCCTCGGGCCGGGCTTGGGGAGTAGAGAACTCCCAGAACCCCATCAATTTCTCCCCCCCCCCTCCACCGTTTCACCTCTTCTGTTCCCCTCTCCCTCTCTTCCATATCTTCCCTCCCCTCCCCTCCCCACCCCTCCCCTCTCATCGTCCCCATCCCCCCCCTCCTTAACCCTACCCTCTCCATCTCTCCCTCCTCCTCCTCCTATTACCCTACCCTTCCCCCCCCCACTCTCTCCCCTCCAAATTCAAACACGTATTTCCATTTAAATAATGGGTACCCGGCTGCACTCGGGTCTCTTACCACCACCCCCTTCCACTGTTTCCCCCTCTTCACCCCATCTCCCCCTGACCCCCTTGTTCCCTTCTTCTTGGTCAACCCCTTTCTCCCTCCCCTCGTCCTCTGCCTGCCCCACTCCCCCCTCCCTTCCCCCCTACTTCCCCTTTTCTAGGAAAATGTATTATCAAAATTCGATGAAAGAACTGTGACTCTCAGAAAAAAATATTACTATCACTAAAACTGTAGGGGGAATCGCACCAAATATTTCACACTTGACACCATGAAAATCACACAGAGGGGTCTTCATAACTGTTAATATTTCTTAAAGTATCTATCATGGGCCTACCGTGATCAACCTATGTTCGTCCCATACCCCAGACCATTCCCCGTGCAAATTTAGGCGAGGTTAGACGCTAGTTCCAAGTGTCTGACCTTCAATTGTTGACAAACAATAGCTCTCGTATAACAAATATACATATTCTAGTCATGGTAAATATGTTAATATATTTAAGGCTAACAATATACAAATATAAATCGAAAAGCCTTTTCAAGAGTACGTAAAGTCTGAGACGCCTAACAGACTGTACGGTAGCACAGTGTGGTCGTGGGGAATCTGATTGGCTAACTTGCTTTGACGTCACTGTTAACAAACAATCCAATTTGTCTATTTTAAGTGACGTCGACAGGGTAAAAAAACGCTGTGATTGGTTCATTCGGTAGCAAGCAACGTTCTTGCCCGGTTCGTTGCATGACGTAATTACACGTCGTTATTGTCGTAAAAATGCTGTGTGATTAGCTGGCCGGCGCAGCGGCGGTGGTTGGAACTGATAAAAACGACCTAATCTAATCTAGCGAATGGCCGAAAATTCCCTGAGCAGACGTGAAAATAATAGACACTCGGCCGGTGGCAAGACATAATGACGTCATGTAAAATCAACCAATCAGTATTAGCGGCCCAATGTCCATGACAAATCGACTCTCATCAGCGGATAAATAGCCAGGAGGTGATTGGACGAGCTTCTCGCTGACTCCGATACTTTTCAACAAGAGCAAAGAAGCTAGACGTTAAGCTAAGTTAAGCTAAGCACCTGCCCTTTCATTCGTGACCTTTGACCCAGTGTGTGTGTACTACGGGCTCACCATAGTTCGTGCTACTTGGAACTTTTTGTTCCCGGTAGCGAATCATGAACAACAACAACAACAACATTTGACCCAGACATAGCTAAAAAAAAAAATACAGTAAGGGAACTATCAAGAGAAAGCACCAAGCCATTAAGACTATTTACCACTTGGAACGGATCGTGAAAAGGATTAATGATAGATGGAACGGCGGGGAAAAATAATTGTGGCCAACCACGTGGACAGTCGGGGGATTGAACGCCGACCTGCATGAAGCGAGACCGTCGCTCTACCGTCCAGCCCAAGCAATAAAAGAATGGTGGTTGGTTCACTGAGGAGAAGATGCTGAAGACAGCCCCCAAGCTGCGGAAGGGGAAACAATTGTCTATATATAACTATGAACAAACTCTCACTCAAAAACACACACACATAAAACGATTTAATGTCAACGTGAGAGGGATAACGAAGCTCCGTCAATGACAATTTGACATTAAGTGATTCATTGTTGGGTGATGGTGACACAAGAGTGGTGATGTTGTCATTGTACCTGTGTGGTGGTGGTCATGTGAGGATATGTGGGATATGTGGACGAGGAGCTGGGATATGAGGACGAGGAGCTGGGATATGAGGCCGAGGAGCTGGGATATGAGGCCGAGGAGCTGGGATATGAGGCCGAGGAGCTGGGATATGAGGCCGAGGAGCTGGGATATGAGGCCGGCTTGTAAGAACGGGCCCAACTACTTGAACCTTCTGGGATCAAACGCGAACCCTGCAAGAAACGGAGAGTTGCTGCACCAATTAGTCCAAGTGGATGATAAAAAAAGAGTAACTTAGAAAGGACTTGACGGAACGTTAATAAAATGAACGAAGGTAAAGGCGGTGACCCTAAGGATTGAGACGAGTTAAGAAGTCAGTCGACGGATGAGATATAAAGCCTTCGTAGTCGCGGTTAAAGTAGCGAGACTTTACGGATCAGTAACATTAAAGCGGCTTATACAGTACAAATGCGAATGATATAACATATAAGTTATATACCACGGAATATATACACCTGCACATCATTGCAAGTACAGAAATGACATTTACAACAATCGTGTGGATGAGCGTAAGGAGGATTGTGAAGTTTAATCTTGCGCTTAAGTGTAAGTGTGAGCTTGAAGGTAAGGTTGAGTGTTAGCTTGAGCGAGGACGCACCATCACAGTAAATTACACAGTGTCTGTGTACCCGCCTTCCTCCCTGTGCCAGCCGGGTAAACTCGTGTATTTCTTAAGACTTCGCGGAGATAATGAACACCATTAACTTACTTGAAGACCTACTTAGCTGAAAATCTTAATTATACCAAGCACGAGGAAAGAAATTTGTCTCGCTCAGTGCTAATGAAATTCATTCATTCACACAGCGCAATATAATTTTTTAAATAAAACAACGAACCCATTTTTATTTTGTTATGTGTTAATAATTTTATAGAAATAATGTATACTCGAAGTTTGGGAAGTTACTAGACCCCATAGGCTTATTGCTGCGACAATTTTCGGTCCCAAACCTTGGCCTAGCGTCACCACACTGGCTGAAGCAGGATGCTGATGTTCAGTTATCGAAACTGTCCAATTTCAGACCCATTTTCGGCCCAGCATACTTCACATCAGTCTGGTGACGGAGACAGTCACTACACCAGGCGTTTCTATGACGCTCTGAAGGCTATGTATATGGACCACAGCCCTCTGGAGCTCTGCTTCCCTCCTCCCTGCTGATGAGACTCTGCTGCTGACATACAAGAAGCAGTTCTTGGACAGATGAGTTGAACACATTGATCAGGTCCTTAGCCGTCCTGCCTCAGTCAACGATGAGACCATTGCTCGCCTCCCTGAAGTGGAACACGGAGGATAGTCATCTCTACTGACATGACTAAACCTGGATCCTGACACGAGCCTAATACAGAGTTAAGAATGTTCTGCGTGTTAGCATACCCACTGACATACCTCATATTATACAGCTCAAGAAGGGAATTTCTTGGTACTGAAGGAAGCAGACGCAATATGTCACAAGTGATACCATCTTCGCTGGGGGATGTGGTTTTACCTTTGCTTAGGGTCGAGAGTAACTCAAACTCAGTTAGTGGCACGGTGCATACATCTTCCTTGTGGAGCATGAAGTCATCGAGGCTTTCTCGACCGCCATAACCATCATTTAATCTGAATCGTTGGAGGATATTGTGACTGCCAAGGTGTGACGTCACGAGCGCCTGCCAGCCTCGTTCCAAGGAAGCACTGCTAGAGACATCATATTATGATGTGCGATTGTTTATACACAGATCATTTGATTCTCGAAATGAATTAATTTATATTATTTTATGTTTAAGGATTGTTAATTACTCAGCACCGTAGGGGATATTTTCCGCATCCTTCTCGCATCCTCCCATCCCGGCACGACCCCTTCCTTTCCTTCCCATCTCTTCCAACCCGGGCACGACGCCCCCCCCCCCTCCTCCCTACTTCGCGCAATGAACACAACAGCAGCAGCTGGGAGCCACGAGGCTTATCACGTGACCAATCATGGATTCCTTTTATCTCACAGAGGTCGATGTCAACAGCGGTGCCCCACTCCCCCCTTCCTCGGGGGCACGGCCCCCTCCCCTTCTTCCCCAGGGGCACGGCCCCCTCACCCAAGGGGCATGGCTGTCTCCAGGAGGCAGAGGCTGCTCATCGTTGAGAGCGGCGCCACGCAGGCCATCAGAACGTCAACAACAATCAGGTGGAAGAAGACATGGCCACGGTAATGAGCCGAGCGGGAAGGTCTGCTTCACATATATTAAGCTCATAAACAAGTCACTACCACGCGGCTTTTAAGAGGCATTCAACGCTAAAAATGGTGAGTGGGCGCGATTTATCTGCTTATTGGGTGGGAGTTCATCTGTTTAGTTAATGGGGGTTTTAGCTGTTTATTAGGTGGCTTGTATGCGTATTAGGTGGCTTGTAGGCGGGGGTTTATTTGTGTAAGAATAATACGGAGGAGCCAGCTGTCACAGCTGCTCAGGACATTTCAGGTGATGGGCCTTAAAAATCTGACTTTTTGTTTTAGGACAACCAGGGCACGAAAATTACTGCTTGTTTCAGACGACAGAGAATGACAATAGATAACGAATTTGCGCGCGCAAGCACACACAGATACAGACACAGACACACACACACACACACACTGTATGGAATCTGTACACCAGTTGATTGACGGTTGACAGGCGGGACCAAAGAGCTAAAGCTCAACCCCCGCAAGCACAATTAGGTGAGTACACACACACACACACACACACACACACACACACACACACACACACACACACACACACAGTTCGCTCCGGTAATCCTTGCTTCAAGGCAGTTCTCTCTCATGATGGAGGCAGGAAGGAGACGAGGCAACCATTTAAACTAAGTCAGTTGCTCCTTCATCAGCCTGGTCGGGCCTTACTCCGGCAGGAAGTGCTCGACAGCCTCGTCCAGATCTCTGGACGTTGACGACTGAGATTCTAGACTCTGGTATTCCTGTACAGACACAAATCATGGTAGCTTTTCCTGTTGTGTGGCATCTGACTGCGTCCTTGTTTCTCCTGTTGCGGTTACATTGTTTGGTCCTCCTGTTTGGTTCCCAAAACAGAAAACGGGACAATATGTCAATTTCATGATCCGTTGCCATTTTCTATGACGACAATGTTTGGCCTTATGTAGTCAAAATACGACGTACTATTAAGAGGAAGCGACCAAGCTGACTTGTATTATTGAATTTGGCCAAAGGGGAGAATATATTTTTTAACAGCAACATATAAGACCTAATTGCTCCCCGTGATCTTAGGCCTAATATTGTATGTGTTCTATATTATATGCATTGGTAAGTCTTGTTTTAGCATTACCTTTTCCAGACAATAAGATTAAAAGTGTAAAACAAGTGAACTTGGTGGCGGTCCATCACTACATATTGGTACTTGCGACTAATAGTTACTATTAGTACTATCACTTCGGGAGGACGGGTTGGACTCTTGGTCCTCCCTTCACCCTCTCCTCCTCGGCTCTGTCCTCTCCCCCCCACTATGTCCTCTCCCCCACTATGTCCTCTCCCCCCACTCCCACCTTCCCCCTCTCCCAATCGTGCTCTCCTCCCACCTGTCAATGTTTTATCCAGGTAATGGTGGTGAGAGGACCTGGAGGCCCCTATCGTCCGTCACCTCTGCGCCCCACCACCAGGGCCCCCGTCCCCACGACCAAGGGGGCCCTGCCGACCGAGACTTGAAGGCCCCCTCCGTCGACCACCACTTTTTATGGAGTCTTTATAGCGGAGTTACGAGCCGCGGGCCGCCTACACTGACGCCCGCACCACTGAAATTGACCCTCTTGATAGCACTGTCTGTCACAGATGGCCTCCAGCTGTGAGAGAGCTTCCCGTGCTGCTGCTAGGGTCACCTTAGCGCTCCGAGGCCTCCTCCACCCACTCTGTTGTCATGAAGAATACAAATATATATTTACCTAAGAGTGGGGCTGAAGTTAGATGTTCCAACGGAAGAAGTGGTGCATGATGCGCTGTATATCTGTTGACGAGGGGACACTGAGAGGAAACATTACAACCGTTGTCCTGTTGATGAGTCTTACTACAAATTTGTGGACGTTATATTTGATCTTCCTTATTAACTTTCCAATCCACTTATGGGCTTTCGTTCGGAAAATAGTAAACAGTTGGTAGTGGACCCCATTAACATCCTACAGGTTGTAGTGGACCCCATATTCATCCTACGGGTGGTAGAGGACCCCATACCCATCGAGTGACTTGTTTTGGACCCTATATCCATCCTGAGGATACACTGGCAGTGTTGAAGGCAGCAATGTTCAGTGTACAGGTTCCCAAGTAGGAAGACTTGAGAGGCAAGACCGACGAGAGGCATCAACATCCGAGGCTGGTGTCGCGTGACAGACTTGACGTGGTGAGAGGCAATGTTCTGTTATGTTATCCCGTCGTTGTAGGTGTTCTTTAGTACCCCGAGACGGTCTTAGTTGCCTTCCTTACTGTCTGGCTGTGGTCGTCTGAGGTGGAGGTTACGATAACACAGTTATACGCTTATAAATCTCAAGGTAAACTTATAGTTCTAACAGGCAGAACTGAAGAGGTTGGAGCTGTAGATGGCGTATAGGAAGGAGCTGGGAACCGCCTGACATCCTATAAGACTCGTCTTAAGAGTTATACTCCAGACACTCGAGGAGTACCTTGGGAAGAGGGAGACAGGAGGAGCGAGGAAGGTGACGGGAAGTATTGTTTTCAAGACGAGAGGAGCACCGAGGACCCATCCGACCGAGGCGTGGTGATCGTCGAGGACGCCACTTGTGCAGAATAATATTCTGAACAATGTCATCCTGGACGTTAATAGTTATTATAAAGCATAAATGTTCACATTTCAATAAGTTAAAATCACTCGATTTGTCATTAACGAGCAATATCTTAAGTCAATTGAAAGCAAATATTTAACATCATCCAGTGTTGTGTCAGGAACTTTGGGTTGTTGGGTTTGTTAGTGTGTTATTGTATATTGTATACTGTAGTTGTCTAGCGGCCATTAGCAGTTCTTGACTGACCGACGATTACGACACTGCCGATTCTATTGCAAATGTTTCAGTTGTACCTGTTGTTTTGTTTCAACATTTACAATAGAATGCAGTACTTGGTTTGTGAATTAAATTTCAAAATTAACACCGTCAAACATTCAAGCTGGGGATCATTATTGGTTCATTAGAGACTCGTTCGTATTTGGGGAAGTGAAGGAGTGGCTGTTGGCCATTGATAATTGACACTTCAGACTCGCAAAATGTTAACCAATGGGGTGAGTTTTAGGGTGAATGTCAACCAATCAGCGGCCGGGTTTGGTTGGCTGCTGGATATAAAAGTGACACTGAGCCAGAAAGCACTTCAGTGTGTTTTACCTCACTTTTGGTATACAGTTCCAGCTTCGTCTCCTGGAGTTGAGCTGTATGTGGGGGATACCCCCTTGCTCTTCCCCCCGCCCCTTGCTGCGTCCCCCCTCCCTCCCTCGCTCTTTGCTGCGTCCCCCCTCCCTCCCTCGCTCTTTGCTGCGTCCCCCCTCCCTCGCTCTTTGCTGCGTCCCCCCCCCTCCCTCCCTCGCTCCCTCGCTCCCTCGCTCTTTACTGCGTCCCCCCTCCCTCCCTCCCTCCCTCCCTCGCTCTTTGCTGCGTCCCCCCCCTCTCCCCCCCCCCCTTGCCCTTTGCTGCGTCCCCCCCCCTCCTTCCCCTGATTTGTCTCCCTCCCTCTCCCCTAGTTCCCCGTACTGGAACTAGTGAAGTGTATGGGGTTAATTACCTTTATTTCAGATTGGTCTTGACGAATCAAAGGTTGGGTTTAGTACGCATAATGCTGCGTGTGGCACTACAGCAGACCCAAACTGGCCTGTGACGCTCCACTACCCCACTTGTATCATGCGAGAGGCTAGCCCTTAACGTCTGGCCTTCAACCTTAAAATTCGGGTAAATATACATTACAATTTTTGTACAATAGTTTTATTATGAACTTTAAAACTACATTTTCAAATCTAAATTTAACTTGTTTTAATGAAGACTAAAATTCAGCAGGCTAGGGATGTAATTCTAGTAATGGGTAACTAGAAATTTTCTTAAAACCAGTTTAATCTTTAGTGTTTCCATAATGTTAGTCTAGTTTTTTCCATCAACGCTAACTATATAACTTCCTGTCGTATATATTAATCACAAAATTGCCTTAGAGTACCATATTAGTAATTTGTATCATTGGTGATTTCAGTTGATGTAGTAAACTTCTTTAATGTAAGTTAACGGAATAATTCGTCGCGACCATTGCACCTGAACAATTAACTACCGGTTCGTAGTGGTGCAATTGTCAGCGCCTCGGGTCGACACAAGGCAGTCAGAAGCTAGAGAAATCCGCCTTAAGTAAAACTCAGATACTAGTGTCGGGACATTTCCCCACAGGGGATTGGTCTAGCAGTTCAATAAGTTGTTTGGTAATGTACAGTATAGCCGTGCACGTCTGACTGTAATTCGGAAGACGATTAACTTTATAGTTAAATGTACAGTTGGTACTTTTATTTAGTGTAAAAGAAAAGTAAATGACTGAAGTTTAAGAACAAAGGTGTAGCATTAATGCGTAATGTATAGTTTTTTTTCTTTGGGGGGCGGGGAGGGCTAAAAGTTTCAGCCTCTGAGCTTGAAGGTCTACAAACATCTAGGTTAGATTTTTCTATGAAACATCTTTGACTTGTGTTCACCCTGGTGCAAGGATATGGTTGTCTATATACTTTTAATCTTAAATTGGTGGTATTTTCCAGAATACTTCTTAAAATACTGGTGTGTGGGGGGGGGGGTACCCCCGGGAACAACTACATGGCCCCAAACAGCTCCCTGGTGGTGGTCTTGGTCTCCTGAGCAAAACCAGTTTGTTTTGGAGTACTAGAGAAGCAGGTTACAATCAACATGCCTCTTGTTGTTCCCTTTTAGTAGATGTACATTTGTCATCCTGCTGGACTAGGATTTACTAAATGACAAATGTTTCTAACTACGTAATTGTTTTTTAGGCGGGATCCCGGTCATGTGGACAAGCAGCAACGAGCTCGACAAGACGACCTGGAGGTGGTTATCTGGGTACACTGTCCTTCAGCTGGTCTCACACTGGCGGGTCAGTATGGCTTGTTTTACTTTGTTATACACCTCAAATTGTCATAACATACGGAGGTGTTTGGAATATTAAACGCAGGTTACTCATAAGGGCTTAAATAGCTGTAAAACTTAAATCCTGTGACAAGTTAAAGTAATAATTCATAATCTTAAGGAATGTTTCTAATAACTCTTCCCTCCCGTCCCCAGGCTCGGGCGACCACAGAAAAACAGGGAAGGCGACGAGGACTGTCTCGGGTACTGAAGAACGTCTCTAAGAACGGCATGAAGTGAAGACGTTGCCTGTCACCGTCACGGCTGTCATCTGTAACACAAGTCTTGGATGTATGTGTTTGGCAGAAAATGGCCTGGTTCCCGAATGAAGTTGTAAAACATTAAAATTTTAAACAGCTCATGATCTTAAATACCTTAGCCATGAGGTCTCTTAATGCTTAAGTCTATGCAGATTGTCACTAACGACCTGAAGTGTCGTTGGGGCAATGTTTAACTCATTGGTTAAGGAAACTATTAATTGCTTGTGACTTCAATGTCACAATGACAACCCCCCCCCCTGACCTGCATTGGTCCAATGTCAGGTGAACCGCTGACATGGGAACACACCTGTAACCCGCCCCCTCCCCTCGCCTACAGACCTGTGTAGGTGCATTACTTGTAAAATCTGGTTGTAGCGCACTTTTTGGACCTCGCTCCGTGACCTCGGTAGGTACATTATTTACATAGAGTAGGACAGATTTTTTGTCCTGTTTGGCAGTTACTATCTGGAAGAGAACGATGGCTAGACTTTCCAGTGTTATAAAATGCATCTTTACAGGGTTTTGCATTTCTAATTGGGCACCTAAATCACTTGCATAGTTGCCTATATTTCTTTATCCACAACTCCATTCCATATTGCGATCCAGAATGGCGGTAGTAAATCTCTGTAAACTATTGGAAGTTTCTTCTATACATCATAGATGCATATTGAGAGGGAACAATTTATTTAAATTTCTAGTTAAGGTTTGGTGCCTTCTTTTGATAATTACCTTGCCTTCTAGTTTAAAAAGGGGGGGAGGGGGAGCGGGAATGAAGTTGTACATGAAATTCTAGCAAGATGTTAAACTACTAGTGGAAACTTCAGTGGGATGTACCTTTAGTTTATTATATTAGGAATAAAAGACGGTGATGTACGCGTGTTTGAGTTTTAGTCTCCAGGTTTTAACAGAAACAAGATTTTTACATTAGTAATGGATATCAGTTATACTTGGTTGAAGGTTATTTTCTGCTTTAATTAAAAATAGCAAAGATAAGAGTAGGCTACAAATGGCCTGGCAAAATAGTCAGCCTTGTGAATTGCAGATTACTGAAACCTGTTTGTCGCCATGGTGCAACATAAACTTCTCGGTTTGGTGCCATCTTTTGGTAATTACTTAGTCACCACCCACTACAGGGCAGTGACCCCACATTAAGAAGCCCTGGAGTAAGTGTACGGACACTTGGGCTGTCACCTGAACGGACAGTTTCGTGAACACTTTGTTCTCGTATTGGCTACATAGCCTTCCCGGTTTGGTGTCTTTTGATAATAACTTCGTGAACACACCCGCTGGTCTCGTTAACTTATTGCTGCCGTCATTAATCCCAGCATTAATAAATCGGTCTATTTTGTAACTAGATTCTACAAATATCTCCAAACTATACCAGATCTGGGTTCAGGATAGCAGCAGCATCTAACAAACTAGTCGGAGACCGGGCCGCCAAAACATTATGCCCAGCAGTATTATACAGCTTTAAATAAGGAAGGTCGGGTAAAATGCCAGTGTTTGAGGTAGCAATTTATTGAAATTCAAAGTTTGAGTAAAGAATCGGTTCGAGGCGTCATGAAGTCGGCTCATAGTTCAGAAGGCCAAGTGGTGACGGGCAGGGCGCCGTCCTATTCCGTCGTAGATGTTCACTAGACACTCCTTGTTGCCTGCTGGAGTTGACCGGACCTGGGGACGAGAGGAAGTTGTTAGGAATGTCAAGTTAATATTGCACATTCTTTCAGTTGCGTAAATGCAGTTCAAAGTCTTCCTTAAACGCTAGCAACCTTCACTACCATCCACAGGATGCAACCCGTTCTCGCAAATTCGTAAAGTCAATATTGACTTATTTAATAAGTGCATAGGTGACATACTAAACATAATAGATACCCTTAAAAAGCTCCATAGAAAACACCGACCTGACCTAACCTTGTTAGTATCTTAAGATAAGCATCTTATAGCTTCGTAATTACAATTATTACTTAACCTATTATAGGTATAGGTTAAGTAATAATTGTAATTACGAAGCAATTACGATTATCTTAAGATACTAACATGGTTAGGTAAGGTCGGTGTTTTCTATGAAGCTTTTTAAGGGTATCTATTATGTTTAGTATATCACCTACGCACGTAGTTAATAAGTCAATATTGACTATACGAATTTGCGAGAACGGGTTGCAGGATGGGTATGTGAGTCCACTACCACCCACAGTGGACCGCATACCCATCCTACCACCCACAGGATGGGGTATGGGGTCCACACCACCAACAGGATGGCTATGGGGTCCACTGGCACCCAAAGGATGGGTATGGGGGGGGTTCTCTACCACCCACAGGATGGGTATGTGGGTCCACTACCACCCACAGTGGACCGCATACCCATCCTACCACCCACAGGATGGGTATGGGGTCCACTACCACCCACAGGATGGGTATGGGGTCCACTACCACCCACAGGATGGGTATGGGGTCCACTACCACCCACAGGATGGGTATGGGGTCCACTACCACCCACAGGATGGGTATGGGGTCCACTACCACCCACAGGATGGATATGGGGTCCACTACCACCCACAGGATGGATATGGGGTCCACTACCACCCACAGGATGGATATGGGGTCCACTACCACCCACAGGATGGATATGAGGTCCACTACCACCCACAGGATGGATATGAGGTCCACTACCACCCACAGGATGGATATGAGGTCCACTACCACCCACAGGATGGATATGAGGTCCACTACCACCCACAGGATGGGTATGGGGTCCACTACCACCCACAGGATGGGTATGGGGTCCATTACCACCCACAGGATGGGTATGGGGGTCCACTACCACCCACAGGATGGATATGGGGTCCACTACCACCCACAGGATGGGTATGGGGTCCATTACCACCCACAGGATGGGTATGGGGTCCACTACCACCCACAGGATGGGTATGGGGTCCACTACCACCCACAGGATGGGTATGGGGTCCATTACCACCCACAGGATGGGTATGGGGTCCACTACCACCCACAGGATGGGTATGGGGTCCACTACCACCCACAGGATGGGTATGGGGTCCACTACCACCCACAGGATGGGTATGGGGGTCCACTACCACCCACAGGATGGGTATGGGGGTCCACTACCACCCACAGGATGGATATGGGGTCCACTACCACCCACAGGATGGGTATGGGGTCCACTACCACCCACAGGATGGATATGAGGTCCACTACCACCCACAGGATGGATATGAGGTCCACTACCACCCACAGGATGGATATGAGGTCCACTACCACCCACAGGATGGATATGGGGTCCACTACCACCCACAGGATGGATATGGGGTCCACTACCACCCACAGGATGGATATGGGGTCCACTACCACCCACAGGATGGATATGGGGTCCACTACCACCCACAGGATGGATATGAGGTCCACTACCACCCACAGGATGGATATGAGGTCCACTACCACCCACAGGATGGGTATGGGGTCCACTACCACCCACAGGATGGGTATGGGGTCCACTACCACCCACAGGATGGGTATGGGGTCCACTACCACCCACAGGATGGGTATGGGGTCCACTACCACCCACAGGATGGGTATGGGGTCCACTACCACCCACAGGATGGGTATGGGGTCCACTACCGTAATATAAACAATAGGGACATACACGTATTGACTGGAGACGCAGATGCACATTAGGCTACAGTGTTCATTAACAATACTGGAATATTGTAACAAAAAACACTATAGGAGCTAATATTAATGTGCAAATATTTCAGTGAGAAAGTTAATGATTAATTAATAATGAACAAAGTTACAAATTTATGAAACAAATTGACAAATTTTAAGTGCAAAATTTATCAAATTTTGTGACATTAAGAATTTAAGTAGTAACAAATTGGTAAATCGTAAATATATTAAGTTAAGAATCGATGTATATTTGATGTTGTTGTTGTTGTTAAAGATTCGCTACCTGGAACAAAGTTCCAAGTAGCACGGGCTATGGTGAGCCCGTAGAATATGTTTGATACCTTCGGTAAGTGAGAGGGGCAGGTAACTATAGATGTTTTGTGGGTACCTTGAGTCATACCCACCCACCAGTATTCTTCCAATTTACCACCTGACTCTACCTCACTCCCAGCCTCCAGCTGATGCTTTTAGATGCCCCATCTAACCTCTTATCACGCATTAACCTTCAGTTCCTGAGATATTTATGAGGTATATATAAATGGGTGATCCCTCATGATGGTATTACTGTAAACTTATCAAGTGGGTGGTAGTGAATACCCGTACCCATCCAGTGGAAGGTAGTGAACCCCCGTACCCATCCAGTGGGTGGTAGTGAACCCCCGTACCAATCCAGTGGGTGGTAGTGAACCCCCGTACCCATCCAGTAGGCGGTAGTAAACCCCGTACCCATCCAGTAGGCGGTAGTAAACCCCGTACCCATCCAGTGCGTAGTACTGAACCCCCATACCAATCCAGTGGGTGGTAGTGATCCCCCATACCCATCCAGTGGACGGTAGTGAACCCCCGTACCCACCCAGTGGGTGGTAGTGACCCCCATACCCATCCAGTGCCCCATATTATATATATATATATATATATATATATATATATATATATATATATATATATATATATATATATATATATATAATGTGACCCACCGCCGCTTTCAGTAATTGGCATATTTTTGGTATAAAAAGTCGGAATTTCAAACGGCGAATAGGTGCAGAGAGCCAGAATTTGGGTCCAAAATATGGCTCAGGTATCGAATTTGGGATGTTTGGCATATTTTAAAAACTGCAGGGGGGTTTGGGCAAAATGTGACCCACCGCCGCTTTCAGTAATTGGCATATTTTTGGTATAAAAAGTTTGAATTTCAAACTGCGAATAGGTGCAGAGAGCCAGAATTTGGGTCCAAAATATGGCTCAGGTATCGAATTTGGGATGTTTGGGATATTTTGAAAACTGCAGGGGGTGTTTGGACAAAATGTGACCCACAGCCGCTTTCAGTAATTGGCATATTTTTGGTATAAAAAGTCGGAATTTCAAACGGCGAATAGGTGCAGAGAGCCAGAATTTGGGTTCAAAATATGGCTCAGGTATCGAATTTGGGATGTTTGGGATATTTTAAAAACTGCAGGGGGGTTTGGGCAAAATGTGACCCACCGCCGCTTTCAGTAATTGGCATATTTTTGGTATAAAAATTCTGAATTTCAAACTGCGAATAGGTGCAGAGAGCCAGAATTTGGGTCCAAAATATGGCTCAGGTATCGAATTTGGGATGTTTGGGATATTTTGAAAACTGCAGGGGGGTTTGGGCAAAATTTGACCCACCGCCGCTTTCAGTAATTGGCAGATTTTTGGTATAAAAAGTAGAAATTTCAAACGGCGAATAGGTGCAGAGAAACAGAATTTGGGTCCAAAATATGGCTCAGGTATCGAATTTGGGATGTTTGGGATATTTTGAAAACTGCAGGGGGGTTTGGGCAAAATGTGACCCACCGCCGCTTTCAGTAATTGGCATATTTTTTGTATAAAAAGTAGGAATTTCAAACGGCGAATAGGTGCAGAGAGCCAGAATTTGGGTCCAAAATATGGCTCAGGTATCGAATTTAGGATGTTTGGGATATTTTGAAAACTGCAGGGGGGTTTGGCAAAATGTGACCCACCGC